GCTCCCTCCCGCGCCCAGCATCTGCGGCCCACCCACTGCACGCAAATCCGTGCAAGGCGAATAAGAGAGTCGGGCCTTCGTGGGTTTTACGCAGCCTTGGAAATAAGGCTTGACGTGTAGCAAGAATTTCTGATTGGTCTCAAACTTCCCCTTGCTCTTAGCCTTCTTACGGCTCTGCATCCTGTTCCTGTGCAATGGGAGAAGATTAAAGTTGTCTGTGTGCACAAATCGCTCTGAACTGCTGTCCGTGGGTGCAGCCTGTCCACAATCTTTTCTCTTTTTTTCCTCTCCAGGATCATGGAATTTGTGCCTCCGTTTCAGCGTGTTGTGCAGCCCGAGGAGATGTGGCTTTATAAAAACCCATATGTAGAAGTGGATCATGTGCCCACTGTACCTATGTTTGTAAGTTTAGTAGCTTCCTATATCTATTTCATTTTTTTCTCTAATTATAAGCATTATTTTAAAACAAAGCTATGGGAAAAGACATGTTGCAAGGACCTGTAGTTCTTAATTCATGATACTGAAAATACCATTCATGATATTGAAAGTACATTTTGTTGTTACCAACAAAACAACATCTACAGTCAAATTCTTTAGTCTTGTTAGACTTCACTGTATCAGATTGTCTTTTGGATTTAGGTAAAATTATTAAAAACTACTGAATCATTTCACAGGTGTTCATTCCAGGTTGCTAGTACTGTAGAGTATGGCATTTCTCTCACTTTTGGGGAATGCTTTGCTTAAAAGCAGTCATTTTAAGCAGAATTTTATTATAATGTTTATTCTGAGAATGTTTTCCTTAGGTGTCTAGATTCTGTTAAAATAATTTCATATGAAATTACAAATTTTGGCCTAACTTCTTGTAATCACGCATGTGAACTGAATTTTAGATAGCTTGGGCAGTTTTGCAAGCTGGCATATAAGAAAGGACTCTGACTCCCAAGAGAGAAAATGACTGATGGAGACAATGAAAGGGGAACAAAAACAGAAGATAAGGTCAAATGAGTGGTGTCGGTGAGCTGCTGCCCTAGCTGCTTATGGGCATCATGCATATAGACAAGGAAAGAAGACCTTAAAAAAAAAAAAAAAAAGAAAGAAAAGAAAAGAAAAATGCAGCTAGACTTTTACTCTTTTTAACTAATTTTAACTAGATTTCAAGTAAACAGTATTAAAGGGATTGTGTCCCCTTCTCTGAGGAAGCGGTATTCAGAAGAGATGCTGTGGTTCCTGATTTGGGCAGGGGCTTTGTTAGCAAATAGCAATTCTTTTCTGTAAGACACAGGTCAGGATTTTTTTAATGTTAAAGGATGAAACCTTGGTTTTAGCATTTGGATTGGGTAGTGAATGCAAAACGTATGCTAGACTTCCAAATGGCAGCAAAGTACTTGAGAGCCTTTCTGATGTATCACGGATGTCCCCGGAGCTGTGGATGTTGTGGTGAAATCCCATAGCATTGGTCACCCCTGAGATGTTTGAATAATAACTGTTTTTCTCTGAACCAGCTGCTCCTGTATTTTTGCTAGTGAACAGTGTGGACGTTGCTGATCAAGGACTAGTCTCTGTGCTTACAAAGTGCCTAGAAAGCGGAAAGAGTTGAGGTACTGTCACTGATGTTGCAAAGGGATACCTGAAGGCAGAGTAGGAAGAGGGAGCTGCACATAAGGCAGCCAGCTGAAGTAGCAGTCTCTTGTGCCAGTGGTATTGCTTATACCAGCTTGAAGATGTGCTGGGTCTTTTTCAGAGAAGTGAAGACAAGCTCCCCTGCTCTGTGGAGCTTACCCTCTCAGGGGGTAAAGCAACAGGACGGACTGTGATGCAGAGAGAGGCTTTTTAGTGCATTATTTTATTGTCTGTTTCCTTTCATGCTGTAGCACACCCAGCATCCTATGGCCCATAAACTTGCTTTTGTACATGAGATGTTATCACTGGATGTCAAACAGCGGAGGAGTAGCCATGCTCTGGGGAACACAGGTTTAGTCTGGGTTTGCTGCAGAGGTTATTTGCTCCAAATATAGCTGGAGCTGGTTTTTGCGTTCTGATGAAAATTAAATTGTGTTTGGAGGTGACAGATTGCTGCTGGGCTTTGAAGAATGAAAGGTTTATAGTCTGCTTAAGCAATTGTTGTTGTGTTTTGGTGAGAGCACTTGAATCTGTTGCATTAATAGACATGTCGTAACAGTCTTCTCATTTTGTGGCAGTTCATCTCCTTTCTGTCTCCTTTACTGCTAATTGTCCTGGCAAGGTTGTTCATGAATGCTGATGAAGAAGATACAAGGGAAGCCTGCCTAGGTGAGCTCCTTCTTAACCCAAATAGCTGCAACCTTGCAGAGATCTGCCCTGACGCTGTGGCTGTGAACCTGGGGGTCCTTGGTCTGGCAGATGAGTCCTTTGCCATTGTCAGAGCACAAGTGCTGTGCCAGGGCATTGCAGCAGAGCTCTCTGGCTCCAGCTGAAGTTCAAGCATTGCCAGTACCTGAACATGCCTCAAAGCTGTATGGGACATGCATAAAGAGCAGTGAGGCTTGGAGCGTTGTTCTTTGGGATTCCAGCTAAACAGACTTAGCCTCCAGCTCAGGCTTCTATCAGGTGCAGTCAGCCCCACCTGTAGTTTCTCTTTGCGCTGAGGGAGGCTGTGTCAGGGTAGAGGTTGGCACGTGCTGCGATAAGAACAATGCTGACATTGGCTCTCTGCTCTCTTCCAGCTGCCAGCCTCGCTCTGGTCCTGAACGGGGTTTTCACAAACGCCCTGAAGCTGATTGTGGGGAGGTAAGAAAGCTCGCTCACTCCCTATACCTGGGAGGAGTGCTTTGGCATGTGTACAGGGAACAGATGAGACTGTTACATCTCTGGGCTATGTGGTCTGGATGGCAAAATGTTATCTGTGCAGAACAGCAGCCTCAGAAGTTTTACTCTGTGTGCCCACAGGCTGTCTGAAGGGACCTCCACTGAGGCCACATGGAAATTCAGTTCATGTAACACATTTGCTCCACTGCTGGATAAAGGGAATAAGATGAGCATATTGTTAATCTGCTGGGTGTACCTAATTGGTCCCTGCCCTGAGCAGCAGTGGGGTGATGATGGTTTTCTGCTGCAGTCTGGTTCTTGCGTATCTAAACCTGCCAGCCTGGGCAGGATTGGAAGTCAGTGATATGCTCAGTTTTGCATTTCTCAGGGCCTGAGTCATGTTACCTTCCCATTGCCACATGTAGAATGAACTCCACTAGGTGTTTGACAAGTGCATTTGGACATAGGTGCTTCATGGAAGCACTGGCTGTTGAGATGGCTCCTGAGGACCATGCTAGGAGCACCGTGTGTGGGCGGAGCCACTGTCCAGGGGTGGCCGGCCCATGCCGCCAGGCTATGTGCTGTGCTCCTCTGTCCTAGGCCACGTCCGGACTTCTTTTATCGTTGCTTCCCAGACGGACGAGTGAACGCTGAGCTGGTGTGCACAGGAGACCCTAGCATAGTGGCCGAGGGACGCAAAAGCTTCCCCAGTGGACATGCTTCGTGTAAGTGCTTCTGCATCCCCTATCTGTTGCAGCCCCAGACACAGCCAAGTACAGTGAGCAGAAGCCCATGGGGAGCGTGGATTGGGTTTGCTTTCAGGCAACTGCAACTTTGGCCAAATTCATTGGCCTCTCTCACGGCTTCAGCTTTCCCTCTGCAAAGCAGTGGGACACAAGATGTGGTCTGAAGCTGTCTGCAGCTCTAGAGAAGAAGGATGTTTGCCATGTACTAGCTGCTAGGGCTGCTCCACCACTCGCCCCACACCAGCGGTTCCCATGACTTGCACGGGCAGTGCAGACTGCCCGTCAGTCTGCCCACCATAACAAGGTTCAGGGGTGAGGATGACGGCTGGCGGAGGGCCCATGTTTATCTCAAAGCTCCGAGAGCTGTTTCTGAAGTGACGCGCTTCTCTTCCAGTTGCTTTTGCTGGTCTCGCCTTCTCTGCCTTCTACCTAGCGGGGAAGCTGCACTGCTTCCTTCCAGGCCGAAGAGGCCGGGCTCTGCGGCTCTGTGCCTTCCTGCTCCCTCTGTTTTCCGCCACCCTCATTGCTCTGTCCCGCACCTGCGATTACAAGCACCACTGGCAAGGTGAGTCAGGGTCTGCTCGTTGACCTGCACTGAGGGGGTCGAAGGGGCTGGGCAGAACCAGGTGCCATGTGCAGGGCACCACGATAGCTCAGAGCAAGACAGGGTCTGCGTTGCTGCATATAGAGACATTCAGAGCCCAAAATCATGAACTTAGGTTTTTTGATTACTTCTCTAGTGGTAATCTTTTTGTTGCCTGCAAGGTGTTAAGCTGCAGAGCTACCTCAAGTGCTGTGAGCAGGCTGAAAAGCAGCCTGCTGGAAAATTTACTTACGTGGTTGCAAGAGTAAAAGGAAGTTAACTCTATTCTGGTTTTGCCAGCAGATGTGTTAGTTGGCTCAGCAATCGGCTTCGTGCTCGCGTACCTCTGCTACAGGCAATATTACCCTCCACTGATGGACTCCATGTGCCACAAGCCATTCCTGTGCAAATCCAAACAACTGCCAGTGCACCAAGAAAAGCCAGCGACTTCCAGCTTTCGCCTAGATGTATAAGTGATAGGGCAGGAGAAGACTTTAGGCAGGTTGGTCATAGTCCACAAGAAGTGACTCAAACGAGGATAAACTTGAAAAACAAACAAGAATTCTTGTTTCTGCAGTGTCGGTAAGTTGTCCTGCTCAGTAGGCCTATGTTTAGTTTCACAAAATTTTATAGGTGTCCCTTCCTTTGGACCTGCTCTGAAGTGAGCTAGGTATTCAGCATGCAAGCCTACAGGAGGAATGCCTGGTTACAGAAGATCCTGATGTGAAAACTGGAAAAATGTGACAATTTGTGTGCCATGTATGGATGAGTGTTCTTCTGTCCACTTTACAGTGAAAGAATGCAGAAAGCATGATCAGATGTTCTCCTTCAATTCAATTGAGCATCCTTTTTCATAGAAAGAATATGTTGAAGTGCAGGACCTTGCACTAAGTTTAAGTACATCTGTTAAATCACAGTTGAATAAATCTGGAGTAGTAAGTACAAGGTTGCAGTCTTTAACCATGTATTTAGTGGGGAGAGGGAAGATGAAAGTAGATTGTTATTGGTGTTATTAATTATTATTGTGCTCACCCTGCTTTTTTATCCTAATCTGCCAAATAAAGAAGTTTAATTTTTTAAGTGGGAGCTGTATTACCTGCAATACTAAAAACTTTACTTTGATATCTGGGTTTATTGCTGTATAAACCATTTACTTTGGTATGTCTGCATGGGTTTCTAGGTGGTGGGTTTTTTTTTTTTTAATCTCTTTCTTTGCAGCTTTAATACAGCACATAATTGTGAAGAGATGACAATCAGCAGAAAATGAAATGGTGTCTTAAAGCATCCTTTTAGAGTTGCTTTTTCTTCTGCACCAGTTTGGTTTCTTAGACAATGGAAGGGTAGAATGCTGCTGAGAAATCCAAGGCACAGCTATATGGCAATATGATTGTAAGTAGTTATTTCTCACTAGTTTCCTGCATAGATATGCACATTCTTTATCAAGTGTACATATGTGCAAACAGCAAGGTGAGACTATGGCAGAGCTAGGCACGTGTGCCTCTACTGAGCTCACATAATGACAGTAATGAAAACACTCCCTCATCTTCAGCTTGGGCCTCATCAGCCCATCAGGACCCTGCATTTTACTTTAGAAGAAGTTACAGAAATAGCTTTACTTTCCCTTGAAATTGTGCAACTGTAAGTTCCTAAACCCTTTCCCTCTGTCTCACCCAAACATGCGCACACTACAGCCACCTATTTATTTATTTATTTTGGCTTTTACTGGAAAAGACATTAAATAACATTTAAAACGTATTTAATTTTTTCTTTTTTTTTATACAAAGTGCATAACTTAACAAGCTGATCGTGACAGTATCCCCTGTTAAGACTGTTCCTTTTGATACTCTTGTAGGAGACGCTTTAGCAATCAATCAGTAATTCAGGCTCCGACTGAGCAGCATGTCTTTTTCTTCAGTCAGGTAAAAAAAAAAAAAAACAAAAACAAAAACCAGCTTCAGTTCTTTCTGGATGGGAGGAGGGTTGTGGGTTGCAAACAATACCTTTTAAATAGTGCAAATAATGTAGTACAATGGAGGACAAACAAACTGAAGCTGTGGAAAAAAGGCTTGTTACCCCACGCAGGGCAAAAGTCGGTAGGAAGGAAAAGTGGTTTGGCTCTTTCCAAACAGTCAGAGCAATGACCTTACACATCATTGAAACATCTGCCTTCCCCTTGCTCAGAGGCTCAGGCTTCAGCCTAGCCAGTGAGTCAGCCTGGATGTTTTTGGTCACAAGGGACAGATCACCTGAGGCTCTCTGGCCCGGTTACCCTTAGAGTAGAGCTAACACACGTCAATGAGCTGCAGACCTAACTCTGTGCAAAACTGTTTTAATTTCCTCAGTGGAGTCATTAGCACATAGTGTCCAAACCCTATGACCTGGGCTCTGACTTCACTAGCTGCATTTCTTATATTTAACAACAAAAACAACAACTGGAGTAGTGCCGGAGCCCAGCTGGCACTAAGTCCTTATAGCCACCTTGAAAGCCACACAGCAGCAGAACAGTAGCTTTGCTCCATGCTCCTGCATAGCACGGAAGAGCTGTCCCTCCAGGGCTCTGAATTGCTTGGACAGTGCTGAGGAGCAGCTGCTTCCCCCTGATTTAGCTATAGTTTCAATCTGGAGGTATATCTTTCCTAGCATGAGGTTCCATCTCCATGGGAATTGAGACTTGTCATTCTGGCTTTTGTATGTAGTCATGAAGAGGGAGGTAGATGTGCTCGATCCCTCCCTGAAGGCTTCCATGAGGCACAGAGCGCCTCAGGCCAGAGGGTCTAGATCCCTAATCAATAAATTTCAACTAGACACCTCTCCAGCTAAAACCTGACTTCAGCAGTGGAACTCAAGGAACGGGGAATAGAAGACAAGCTCCCAAACTGTTTTCAAAAAAGGCTGTCCCTCATATACTCTTGACCATAGACTTGAGGACATATGGCTGCTTCATGCATGGGATAGACGTAGGCACGAGCTGCGCTGCCATCCTACACAGGATATGTGCAGTGCCTCAGGGAGGCCCTTTGTTTATTGGCCATAGTAGGCTCAAAGACAATGATGCTGAGAAATCAATACTAATGTATTACAGCAGACAGTAAAGCCTGGTTCAAGTATTCACAAACATGCTTCTCTCATGAGTTGTTTTTATGGGGCAGTCCTTCCTGAAGGAACCAAGAAGGAGCAATTCAGGGAGATAAGAGTGGTTGGTAGGCATATTCCTGCTTGCTTAGCAGATGCCTGTGCTCCTTGTTCTTCACCTCGCATGCTCTAGCCTCTCTAGTGCTCACTGTTACAGGAGGG